GATCTCTATGAGAATATAAAATAAAATTGATTTGAAGTCCTCATTTTTCCCCATATTTATCTCCATGTTATCTGGGTTTCTTTTTTTGAGAGTTCTTCTTAGACACTCCAATGTGTACTTTTAGTCTTTCTGCATTTAGCTCTTTTATTTCTTATTTACATGTTTTAACATTCAACTGATAATGCAAACATTGAAATACTGAATAGTTCATACATTTCAGATTTTAATAAAATTAATGTGTGCTTATAGTAATTTGGCCAAGTGACAACTTTCCCAATGTTTATCACATTTACTTTTCCTCTCCTGGAAGAATTTCCAAAAAAAGTCATGAAAATAATAGCAAACTTTTTAGCACATCTAGACAATGGCAGGCACTGTGCCTGCTGCTTCAGATTCTATTGTGGAAAAGAGTTTTACACCATCCAATTATAAAGAACACATCATTAATACTATATATGTTCATACTGACTAGGATAACTAAGAGAACCTTCTCTGGAATGAATTCTGGAATTTTTCCCAGATGTTAATAATTAATTGTGTTGTATATAATGTTCAGGTTAAATTATGTATTAGCTTATTTAGTGGAAGTCTAAGATTGACAAGTTTCTGCTGCAAGAAAGGATATTTTGAGAATTTAACTCCTCGTAAAATATGTACCATGCAGTAGTTAGTGCCTACAGCAACTGCTGGTACTCTGTCTATATTAGTATTCTAGGCTTTTTGGCAAGATTGAAAATATATTTCTGTTGGTAGTTAATATTCTGAAATCATAAATATATACACTTAAAATGGACAAGTTAGCTGTATCAGTACCTTAAAATTATATTAAATAAATAATGTTCTATTCTAAATATTAATAATGCCATAATTGGGCATAGGGCAATAAAATGACCACTGTAGTAGCTTGATTGCTATGCATTTATTAATGAAATATTACTTGTTCATTCTGAAAATAAAAGCTGAGAGTAAATAAAAGGGGGAAGGGAAAGGAAAAAGTGTTCAAGGATGGTTTTCCACATGAACCCCTAAGTTTAATTGACTAACATCATTCTGCCTTATATTGGCAACTTTGTAAGGCCTGGGACAGATTGGTGGTGCTAATGGAGAAGAAGTGTTGCTCCTGACGTTGTCTCCCATTTTAATTCATTCAGGGATTATACAGCTAAGCCTACTGAAGCAGCTCTCAATATGGGGCCTTCGAAGAATCTGCCATTTCTAAGGGCCAGAGTTCATGGCCAGAAACATTGCATGTAACTCCTAGGAAAAAGGGCCGAGTGATTGAGTGCTTTTACAAAAGTATGGCATGGTTTTAACTTTTATTGTGTCGTGTCGTTTTGCTCTGATGGGACAGACAGGGTTGTTGGACTAGCTTGACATTTTCTGTAACCTTTCCTGTAGCCACTCTCGGTGATCGTTCCAGAGTTGGCTGTGTGACCTTGTTCTGGTCATAATGTGTAAGTAGAAGTCTCTGGGTGGGACTTCCAGACATGCCTGGCCCATGAATAAATATTTACTTAGGGTTAAAGTAAATTAACTATTTAAAATGTAATGCAAAGTGCCTTTTCTTTGGCCCCTGACCTAAAAATGTTGCTTTCTTCGATCTTGCTTGCACGAGTTCCCTCACTGGATGACTTCATTCCCGTTGATGTGATTATTGTCTGTTTACTAATGTTGCGTACATTTTTCTTATCTAAAACACTTCCCTGAGCATCAGCCTTGCACTTTGAATTTCTTCCTGGAGAGCCCACAGGTACTGCCCATTTCACATGCCCTCTCATCACCAAGCTTCACCTCTACTCATGATCATGACTGTGGCTCCAGTCTCCTTCAGGGGACTCTCAGAATCCTCTGTGGCTGCCACTCCATATTAATTCCAACAAACAGGACCTCTCAAGATCTCTCTCTAAGACTGTGCCCAATGGTGATTCCTTCCCTTCATGACTCTCAAGTCTGCCTCCTATACTTTTCTATTAGGTAAACTTCCAGAAAGGTGAATGGCTTGTGCCACATTCCTGCCTAAATGCAGTTGCCCGGCCTCCTAGTTGCCCTGAGAAAGCATGTTTTAGAGCAGAAAGTACTCCTGGGAGCATATGAAGACTTGCCATGGGAGTCCATTCCCAGAGGTCACTTCCAGGACACTCTCTTTCCCCACCTCCCTCTCCATAGTCAACATTTCCTACTTTATGAAAGAAAAGCATACATCTCACCTCTTCTGAATCTCAGTATGGGGCATGCCCCCATGGTATAAAAAGATGTCAGAAACAAACCAAGGAGACAGCATTTATTGAAAAAATAAAACCCTACCTTTTCTACCCCACACAATGGTCAGTGACACATGGCTCCTGAGGAACTGTCCAGAGAGAATCTCAGTGAGAAACATAGAAGGCATCTGTCCCATATTTCATGTAGATACCATATTCACGGCAAGGCTCTATTCATCCCATTGATCTGTGTCTGTGCATGGAAGCTCAGGAATGACATGGTCATCATGGAGATATGAATATTAACATGTATATTTTAATTGAAAATTGAAGCCAGAATTTTTTCTGATTTAACCAATTAGTTAAAAAGTGAAGTTAGGTGTTGCCAATTAGGTTTTATGGCAGAAATCTTCCAAAGCTTGAATCAGCTAAATCTCCAACTCTAAGGTTTGGAAGAATACTTAAAGCATGTGATAAAGGGTGATGGTGTCATACACTCAGAGGACCTCATTGCAGAGAATGCAATATAAGGTAGCCCTGTGTGATAAGAGGAAACTGTTAGGAAGCAATAATGTAATAGCAATAGTATATTAAAAATGAAAAATGTTTTTATTTTCCCCCCAATTTTCTGATTGTATTAGGTGAAAAAGGTGTATCTAAATGAAAACATAGCAGGAATATTAAAAGTTACTTGAAAATTCTTGGTATAGCCTTTAGGTATACTTCCTAGAAGTTAAGAAAGTAAATTATTCTGGTGAATAGTTAACAGAATCTTTTGCAAGTCAATGTGCTTTGTTTCTTTGCTCTCAGAAAACTTTAAAAAGGACCTAATCAAAATGTCAGCAGGTAGATTATTTCCAGTAACTTTAGTATTAGAACATTGTATTATTATTATTATTTTTTTTTGGCAAATGGCTCAGAGATCCCAAGTATTGAAGGATATTGCTCTAATAAAACTTTATATTCTCATTTATTATGTGAATTAGATTTCTCAGGACTTAAATCTATAGAATAGAAATGATGCTGAACCCTGTCTCAGTCTAGCAATAGGTAATATTCTTCCACAGTTATATAAACTCATGGGCAGAAGGAATACTTAGCTCCATCTATCTCATTAAAAGATGTATTTCCAACAAAAATTTTATTTATTATTTAATGATTACCAAAATGTGTATTTTTAATCAATTGTATACTACTAATAACTGTAATGAACACTGAATCCAGAAGAACTTTTTAGCACTTAGAGCTATACAACAATAAGAAATTACAAGAAAATTAATTTTAATTTCTATTCTTGTGCAGTATGATAGGGTGATCAATATAAGACTTTCAAACAAAAACACATTAAATTAGGGTTAAATTACATCTGAGTCAAGTGTAATGGAAAACAAGTTCAAGACAGACTGATATAAACTTTCTGACTGTTAGGTATTTGTTCATGGCTTTCTTAAAGTGGGTTATAATGGACATCCACTTGTAGTATTTAGAATCCATTGGATACATTAACAGAATGATGAAATTTATTTTAAAATGTCAATATTTACATTATGCCAGAAATTATATCCTTTGCAACTACTTGTCCTTATCATTAAAAAAATTACATTACCTTAAAAATATATTGAGACCAAAGCACTCTGCAGTCAGTGCAATCTCTATCAAAATCCTAGAGACAGGGTTACCTGGGTGGCTCAGTTGGTTAAGCAACTGCCTTCAGCTAAGGTCATGATCCTGGGGTCCTGGGATCGAGCCCCGTGTCAGGCTCCTTGCTCAGTGGGGAGTCTTCTTCTCCCTCTCCCTCTGCCTGCCACTCTCCCTGCTTGTGCTCTCTCTCTCTCTGTCAAATAAATAAAAATAAAATCTTTAAAAAAAAATCCTAATGACAGTTTTTGCAGAAGTAGAAAAACCCATCCTAAAATTCTTATGGAATCTAAGGGGACCTCAGATAGCCAAAACAATCTTGAAAAGGAAGGATAAAGTTGGAGGAATCACACTTCCTGATTTCATACCTTGCTACAAAGCTACAGTAATCAAAATAGTGTAGTACTGACATAAAGATAGACATACAGAGCAATGGAATAGAGAGCCCAGAAATAAACCCCTACATATATGGCCAAATGATTTTTGACAAGGTTGCCAAAACCTTTCAATGAGGAAAGTATTGTCTGTTCAACAAATGGTGCTGGATATTCCACATGCAAAAGAAAAATGGACCCTTACCTTATACCATATAGGAAGATTAACTCAAAGTGGATCAGAGACCTAAATATGAGAGTTAAAACTATAAAACTCTTAAAAGAATACATAGAGGGGAAGCATGACGTTGCATTTGGCAATGATTTCTTGAATGCAGCACCAAAAGCACAGGCAACAAAAGAAAATACAGATAAATTGGACTTCTTTAAAATTAAAATTTTTGTGCATCGAAAAATACTACCAATAGAGTGAAAAGACAACCCACAGAATGGGAGAAAATATTTGTAAATCATGTATCTGATAAGGGATTAATAGCCAGTATATATAAAGAACTCTGATAACTCAGCAACAAGAATACCCAATTCAAAAATCAGTAAAGGACTTGAATAGGCATTTTTCCAAAGAAGGTATACAAATGGCCAAGAAGCACATGAAAAAATGCTCAACATTTCTATCTATTAAGGAAATGCAAATCAGAACCACAATGACATGCCAATCCATACCCACTACTATTAAAGAAAAAAAAAAAAGAAACAGAAAATAACGAGTGTTGGTGAGGATGTAGAGAAATTGAATATTTGTGCCTTGCAGGTGGGAAAGTAAAAGGGTGCAGCCACTGTGGAAGACAGTATGGAGGTCCTCAAAAAGGTAAGCATAGAACTGCCTTATAGTCCAGCAATTCTACCTCTGAATATATACCCAAAAGAATTGACAACAAGGACTCAAACAAATACTTTAACACCAGGGTTTGTAGGTACATTATTTACAGTAGCCAAAAGATGGAAGCAACCCAAGTAGCCATCAACGGATGAATAGCTAAGCAAAATGTGATCTATATGTGCAATGCAATATTATGTGGCCTTAAAAAGGAATGCTACAAGGTGAATGAGTCTTGAAAACATTATGTTGAGAGATACAAGGCAGACATAAAAGGACAAATACTGCAGGATTCCACTTACCCAAAATGACTAGAATAGTTACATGCACAGAAACAGAAAGTAGAAGAGTGGTTACCAGAGGCAAGAGGTAGGGAAAATGGAGAGCTGTTTATGGGAAGAGTTTTAGTTTGGGATGATGAAAAAATTCTAGAGATAGTGGTGATGGTTTTACAGCAGGGTGAATGTGCTTAATACCACTGAATTTTACACTTAAAAATGGTAAAAGTGGTAAATTTTAAGTTATGTATATTTTGCCACAATAAAATAAATAATCTATTGAGAGAGTTGTTCAGATTTGGAGGTACATTTAGGCAATACATGCGTAGCTGTTCACGTATTTGAACACCTGTCTGGTGTCCTTCTCAGTCTGGACCCAGCCCTCTCCCTCACTTCATTTTCTTTGTTTTAGCCACCTGGAAGTCCACATCTGCTATAATTATGTACAAGTTGTTCCTCTATCTGTAATGCTCATTCTCTCCCCCCTCCCCACCAAATTGATTAATGGAATCTGATACTCCAAGTACCTACCACCTTTGGAAAAGCTGTGTGACTCCTATAGAAAGAACCCATTTCTCCCTCTATTGTGTTCCCAAAGAACTCTTTCATACCTCTGATGCATTCCAAACCTGTCCTCAACTAGACTGAATTCTTTAAGGGCAAGAATGGTATATGCCTCATCTCTGTGACTCCAATGCATAGCACAGAGCATAATTTGAAGCAGAATCTTAGTAAATAGTTGAATAACTGAATTTTTAAGAATACGTATGGTTATTTCCTCATAATTCTCCTCTGAGAGAGAAGGCAGGCCTTCACCCCACTTTCCAGAATAAGAAAATAAGAAAATGTCACACCTTGCCCAGGCTACAGGCATCAAGTGGCTGATGGGGGTGGAGAAACAGCTCGAAAATCTGCCTTCTTACAGCCCAGGCCTGTGGAGCCAGGCACTAAATCTTATCGTCAATATGTTAAGAGCATTACTTTATTGGTTATAAAACACATGTTTTTGAATATTTGCCATAGGTTTTGTCTATAAATGAATGATCCTATACATATTTCTGCTACTCCTTCCATAATAAACCCCCCGCTGCTGTTCCAACCCCACAGTTTGGAAACAACTGTGTCATTAATGAACGATACCAGATCTAACCAATGACCTCCAGATGAAAGGCTCATTATTTCATTACTGGTCTCCAGAGCTGTTTTGTTCCCTAACACTGTAGTACAGAATTTAGACTGAAGAGTTTAAGCCTTGAACTATAAAAAAATGTAAGTAGTCCTTGACATAATTTGGAGTGATTACATTCTATTGTGCCAAGAGTTCCTTATTAAAAATCAATTTAATTGTGCATAGACCATCTGGTCGGTATTACGGTCTTTTATGGGAGGGAACCACGATTTTGTATTTACCTGATGTTCTATTGGATAAGCATGTCATTTCATAAAAAGGGGGAGAATTTTGTAGCACTGATAAATTAATAATTAAAATTTTAAAAGTGTTTACTAGACTTTCCTTTATTTAAACTCTTGTGACTTTTGAGCTATAAGATTTAATATTTTGTATCATTTAGGATTTTAATGGAAAAGAAAGTAAGAAATGTGTATGTGCACATCATTTGCTACATTTATTTTCATGAATAATTCTATCTTATATTTTTGAAATTCTAGTTCCATTAAACAAGACTTAGATTGTCACATTAGTATTTGTGTTGTCTTTTTATTCAAAGAATTTGGATAATGAAAACAAGAGGTTTGCTTTTGATTGTCTAGTAGCCCGGTTTCAGCTCTATTAGCAAAAGATCATAATATTTTAGTTCACAAAATTACAGGAAACTGTTTCAAACCAGAGTGACTGCATTTTATTATGCAAAATGGGGAAGATTTTGCAGACTGTTTTTCAAAAATACTTTATACCCTAATGTAAAAAGGATCCTTTAGCTTCCTTACATGGCATTAGAGGCTTAAGATTTGGGTCATTTTCTTAAGTTTTTTGATCTGCTTATGTGCTCATAGTTGTAAAATATTTTGTTCACATTACAATCTTAAAACATCAGTGTTGTAAATTAGTAGCCATTAATGTTGATTCTATTCTGAATCGCCTGAACTTCGATTTTTTAAAAATATCACGTGTTATATAGGGTCTGGTGTTAACAACTACCTATTTGGTACCAGCCATAATATCTGTGATCTTCCTTGTGCCCTGACTTCCTCATTTGTGTAATGGGGACGATGCCTACTTGTTAAGATTGCTATGAGATTTAAATGAGATACTCATTTGGAATGTTGTGAAGATTCTTGGCACAGGACGTATGTTAGCTTTTATCTTCATCAAAAATACCAAGGTGACCATTCTGCAGTATGTGGCTCTCTTCCATTTTTTCATTAAAAAAAAAAAAAAAATGAAGCTAGGGGGTTAAGGAAGTGTGCCTGTGCTCATGTGGCAATTAAGTGCTCAAACGAGGATGAAATGTGTTGGCCAAGTTCCATGATCTGTCCTGTGCTCTATTTGAGTGACCTTTCCTTTTTAATGTTAAATGCTAATATTCTGTATGTATTCATTTATTGAGGATGGACTGCACTAGATTCTGAGTATGTAATAGTGAGCAAAATCTTTATAATCTCAGGCCACGTACATCTTAACACACGGTGGGGTAGACAGGCAGCAAGCAGTGCAACAAAAATTATAAATATGATAAGCTAACAGAGAAATGAGCCTGCTGCAGTGATAGAGAACAACAAGGCCTTTTCTTCTACGTAATTCTTTAATGTAATGCTGATTTATTGTAATAATAATAATAGAGATAGAAAAAGAATTTCTCCTCATCTGCCTCCATTCCTGTCCAGGTAGTCAATAGGAACAGGCTAGCTGTTTGCACTCATACAAATACATATAAAATAAATGTATGGCATTTTTCTTGTGGTTTTACAAAAAAATGGATTTTATGTCGGTAGAGCATGCTACTCTTGATCTCACAGTGTGAGTTTAAGCCCCACTTTGGGTGTGGAGCTTACTTAAAAAAATAATTTTTAAAAATGGATCCTAAACACATTACTCCCTAACTTTCTTTTTGTTTGTTTGCCTTAAAAAGTCCTTACCAGTTTTATAAGTATGTGGTGTTTACTGCGAGCATCGTACCTGTCCAGGACCAACTCAGAGAAAACTCTCCAAAGATTTTAGAGCTGAAGCCCTGCCCATTTATTACAATAGTTACTATTTAATGCTGACTTGATCCCATAATTTATTGGACTGAAGGCACTTGAGGGGGAAGTTTTTAGAGCACCTTGCTGTTATTACCGTTATTATTATTATTACCATTATTATTTCTGACAACCCTTGCTCTAGAATAGTGTCCCTGATTTTTTTCCCCTTGATTTCCTGTCTACCTACCTACCTATCTACTGATTTACCTATTTTGCCTGTCTTCTGTCAGTCTAGCACTATTTCTTTGGCATACATTTCTTTGTTTACATGCCTATAGATTTAACATTTCAAAAGATGAGTGCTAACTATTTTACAGACTTGGCTACCTTCACCCCTTAATAAAGAACTTTAGGGGCTTCTTTCCCTGTGCTTTTTGCTTTGTTTTATTTTTTTTCCCACTATTACCCATATTGAAAAACAAGGTAGATTTTTTAGATACAAATGCTTTTATTTATGAGAATGTATTTCTAAAAATAGGACTTTTAGATGCAGTATACGCTCATTTTTTATCCTAATACACATTGCCAGATCAAATTCCAGAAAGACTGTAGCACTTTGACTTTTAAACAGGTATCCGTAGTGCCAGTTAATCAGCTCAGACCTAACGTACAGATCAGTAGATCATGATGTTATTGCCACTTCAGTAAGAAACCAGATGGCTAATTTATTTAATTATTCCCTATAGGGTACTTTCCCACCTCAGTCCTCTACCCTGGGTCTTGGAAGCACAGAGTCGATCGAGGAACAGATCCTCCCTTTCCCAAATGAGGCAATCATCTAAGTATGTTGGCTGTTAGTTGAGAACCTGAGTGGCAGCAGGTACAGCCCGCTGAGATTGTGCAGTGCGGCCAGGACCTCTAGACGGGAGTCTGTGCAATTAGCCAAGACGGTTACTGCGTTTTTGGCAGGGAAGCAGCAGTTAAAGCAAAGAAGGATCTTTTTCCAAGAAGGAAAAGCCATTTAATAAGTTTGAGTCCGTTTGCTCATAACAGCACTACATTTGAGGACCAAAAACCCCAGGAGCTTGGCAAGTCATCAGTGCTTGGCAGGTCTTCCCACCAACTCACCAAGTCTGAGGCCAGCCAGGCAGAACTTGGCTCCCTCTGCTTTGACTGTACTCATTTAAGAGCATTCCTAGTTAACAAGAAAGTGAAGGCTGAGGAATCTTTCTCCCCATTAATCCAGAAGAGTAAAATGTGGTGGCTCTAAGCAAGCCATGGTCCGAGTAACTCCATTGGTGGGGAACAGGGCATCTGTTTGCATTGAGGGCTGTGTGTTGGGTGTATGCAGCTTGGAGCTTGTGGTCCACCGAAAATGACATTCGTGTTTCGGAATTGGGCAGTGCTTTCTTTTTTGTATATGAATTCACATTTGTATATGGCTACCCAGTGTGAGAAGTCTGATTTTATAGTGTGTCAGGGAGCCGTTGTGTACCTGTCTCATGAATACATATAAACAAAACTAAGTACGTTTGTATAAATTTTTTTAAAAATACAGTGTGTTCTCATACT